TATATATATATATATATATATATATATATAGTGTTACTAAAAGTGTATATGTGCTTTGCATTTACTAACTAACTGTACAGTCTACAGTTTACCTTTCAACTATATGCACATGAGACAAGTTAGTTTATGTTAAACTGATCTTTTGTAGATGACAATATGAAAAGTGGAGAAATATTTTATTTCCAGTTTACAAGTTCATTTGAGCTGTTTATCTTTTTTTTCAGCCAGTGTGGATGGGGACTTGTACATTTCAACACTTCCATTTTAATGGCATGATATTTATATTGTCTATTGACATTGCTGTTAGTGTTTATTTTTGAGTTTTATCAAGTATTGTCTTTCACACTTGTTAGTTCTACATTTTTAATGGTAGTTTAAGATAACTCCAGCATATTGTTGTACTTCCACTTAATAATTATTATGTGAATACTTCTAATTCTGGAAAATCAAATGGTAACATCGAGTTCATAACAGGTTGATGTTTTTTGTTCCTCACAAGGCCTTAAAATAGTCCTGGAAAATGGTTTGGCAGTTGTTCTGAATAATGAGTAGGTTAATTCAAGAAAAGAATAAGTAATACTTTACGGTATTAAAAACAAAACTAGGAGTCAACCAGACCACTTCAGTATTAGACCTCTAGGAGGCATGCATCCAGTATTTCCTCAACTCTCTTGCAAATTTTATAGAATATTCACTTTTGTGCAAGGAATCAAACAGTTTTTGTCAACCCAAATTCTGAAAGGAACTAGAAGAAGATACAATGATTTTCTTTGGTAGGTGGAGAAATTTTGTTCTAAAGTTTGCTTGATGTCATGATTTAACTGTAATATAATATCCATAGAAATTATTCCAAAACCAGTAATCATCAAGAACTTTAAGGATAACCAATTCCTCTTCTGTCAAGATTTTGCATATCTTGGAAGACAGATGTCAGAAACACCAGATCCAAAGGTTACTGGTAAGCATAAGGTAGCATAATGCTTGACATATTACTTGTGCAGCAGATGTGGATGCAATCATGACAGAATACCAGTTACAGAGAAAGCAAGTCATAAAAGAGATCAGAGCAGAATTTCCATTGGTGGTAATAAAAATGCCTAATGGCTAAATATAAGCACATCTACCTACAGCTTATTATGTTCACAAATTGTTGGAAGACATGGACAGCTTTGACCAGAGTGGTTAAGTTTTGGAAGAAGGGAAACAACTGTAACCACTATATCCATAGAAAGAACCATAGACAAAAACTCCTGAGGTCAAGCCCTACAAATCCCTATATTTTATTCCAAATTTTTTTATCATATGTGGGCCCTACTTTGTTACCAAAAATTACACAAATGCTCTGGTTAACTCAAGAATCATTGCTAAAATAAATGAATAATATAGTATTAAATAATCCTTACTTTAATTTTGATATTTTGTTACATAAATAAAATGGATGAGAAATGACACTTCACCAACTTAATCCAGTTCACACTATAACAATTTTTGTCAAGCAGTTCACTGATATAAGTAGCATTTCAACCATTACTCTATTTGTTGTACCCCATCTGTCCTGTACAGCCTTCATATTGGGCAAGGCCTTGTTGACACTAGATATAGCAGATAGTGGTTTACTTATTATTATTCACTGTTCTTTACTTTCACTTAGAAGTTCTTAGTAATAGTTACTAATGCAGTTGTCTCCTATTGATGCTGTGTTTGCTTGACCCACTCCGAGATCAAGTAAGCTAGCTTGCTGATTCTTCAGTTCTTCTGAATTATAAAGCTATACTATATTTAATATGAAATTTTTTTTTCTTTCATTTAGCATAGTAAAGGAGGTATCCTTGCTAAAGCTTGTGACTATATTCAGGAATTGAGGAATGCTAATGCTAAACTACCAAATATTCTTAAAGAGAATGAGAGACTGACAATGGATGTGGAGTTGCTTCAGCAGCAGTACGAAGAGCTGAAAAACGAGAATCGTATGTTAAGAGCGCATCTCCAACAGCACGGAATTAACTTGGCTGACCGGATAAGGACTCATTCGTCGTAATAAAACAAAATGCTTTTGTTCATATCTTCTAATGGTAAACATATTCCTTTAGTTATACAATGTAGTAATCATTTGGCACATGTTTTGACTTGTAAACAGCATTGAGACTAATGACAAAAACTTCTCTTGGTTATTTGTAAATGCTTACACTTAGGACACCAGATATAATTGAATGTATAAAATATAATCAGATATAATTAAAACTAATTAAAATGTGATACATGATTACACAAATATATAATGTTCAGAATTATGTTTAAAAAAATGTTTCCTACTGATACTTTTCTTTTTTAAACATTGAGAAGTAATCTTCTTGGTAAATTTTGTGTGGTTTATGCTGTTTTTTTATTATCATTTCTTGCTAGGGCTCTAATCTCCAGCTTAAAATAATATAGTTACATCCAGAGTGTTGGGGCACTGCTGAATATTACGGCCTTTGTTCATGGGACCACTTCTAAGCAGCATCACCTTCCCAAGTGAAGAAACACTAGCTTCTTTAGATATTAGAATTATTTGTTACTGTGTAGTGGCAGACATTCCATTATTGTGGTCAGTAATTTGTTTAACCTAGGTTGCAGTCAAAGAGATAACACATTATCACTTGTGAAAGTTTATTGTTTATAATTAGAATAGTTTTGGGGTGTATCTGATGTAAAGTATGGCTGGAAATTTCATTTCTGTTGTTTAACTTTTTTTTTTGTCATCCTTATGGGTCTTTGCTTGTAAAAATTATTGAAAGTTTCAAGATATTCACATATTAAGCATTCTTTATTAATTAAGACTTGCAATGCAGCTGGATATCTTTTGTCATATCTTTCTTAAATAATATATTATTTGCATATCCTTTTTAATTGTTCCCATCTTTGATACTAAAAATTAAATTGTTGAATGATTTATATTTTATTTCTGTAGATCTAATTATGTATTTTTCAATAAGACTTGCAGTCTGTATTTGTTTCAGTTGGTCTATTCTTTGTATTCAATTCAAAGATTCCTCATTAATCACTAAACATATAAACAGATGGGTATTGAAAATATATAATATAATACTAGGTTCATGCTATCCTCTGATATGTATTTTCTATAGTTGTTTTTGTACACAATTTTCAATTACCAAAACATTTTCTGGAAGCTACTACCAGTTCTGAAAAAATAGGTGTTTCATTGTGCTCTAACAAAACAGCAGTAATTAAAAATTCATATCTTTCTCTTTATTAATATTTATAGATTTTAAGTTAAACTACAAGTTAAATTATAATAACTATAGCTGTTAAATAGGTGCTAGGCATTTAACATTCAAACTGAAATGATTTCATTATGCTGTGCTCTGATGATATAAAATTGTCTTCATTTATGTTGTTTTGTTTTTTAATAGGAATAATGAAAAGTTAAGTTAGAAAATCATACCAACAAATAATGATTTTAGTTGCGTAAAAAAATAACTTTCTATTATTGTTTGTACAAGTCAAACTCAAACTTAGGTACCACCAATAGAATTTAAAAGTTTTGGAAAAGGAAGGCCACTAGAAAACCTATGCTAATGGTCTTTGTTTCAACTATCAAATTATAATTTCACCATTTGTTACTCTAAAACAGTGTATCCAATTGACAATATAAATGTACTACAAGCAGATAGTACTTTAAAGACCATGGGAAAATATTAAAACGGTTCACTGTTTGTTCCAAGAAAAATGCATAAATGGTGTGATCCATATATATATATATATATATATATAACGTGCATCAGTATGTATTTAATTATGAACACTTGAACATCCAGCATCTAATAATCGTCAGTAGACTCGCAAAGTATGTGCTTCACCTAAATTTTTTAAATTATTTCCTAAGGTAGTCGTCAGAACCTACCTTTCTCACTTCAAGTGCTCAAATATGTAGTGCCATAAAATAATTCCAATGCTAACTGTAACATCTTGACTTCCCCCCTTCTTTCTTTCTTCTTTTTTTTTTAAGGCTAAATCATTTAAAGCATAGAGCAGTAAGTAAATGATCACTGAGTTTTAGGGCATGCTTAAATTGTCTCTGTCCAGAACATGAATAAAGTTCACCTGAACAAGAAGCTAACAATTACCAATATGGTAGAGAATGCTATTTTTTATTTAAAGAGAAGTTTGTTTATGATGCTTAATGAAGTGATGATGAAATTGTACAGATTGTAATTAATATGCTTTAAACACATTCGTATAACATTAATTGCCTCCTTCTGCCACATTTCTAGAGCAGTTGTGTAAAGCCTAAACATCTGAATTGTGGTGAAATGTTTTAAGCACATACTGCATTTTTATATCTTCTATGCCATCTTGATGACATCACTGTTCCCCTTTATACCACCTCATCATCGATAACAGTAAGAAGAAATCCATAATACTGTTCTGAGTCACTTTGTAGGTATGTAGAAAGCTCTACATTTTCAAGACAATGGATTGAGTGTACTCTAAATTAATCTGCTAGGTTCTGTTTTGTACCTCAGAGTGAAAAGTTATATAATAAATATAATTTTTATTTACTGTAATTAACAAGTGTCTTAATGTGTTAAACCTAAAGCACTGATGTAGGTCAACATCTTGAAAAATATTTTGATAAAAATAACATTACAAAAATGATATGGTTAAGAAAAAGATATATCTATAATGAAAATGGTATTATTTGTTAGACATATCTCTAAAATGATGTTTGATGTTTGAAAATTTTCTTTAAGTGATTGAGTAAAGATCTCATCTTTAGAAAATAGAAACTAATACAATAACTGATCATTCTTATGCTAATTTGCTGCTATATAGTAATGCATTCAAGCTTTCTAAAATTATTTACTTGCTCAAATGTTATTGTACAGAAAAACCAATCTAAATTAATCAACCAAAGTAAGGTTTTTTATCAGCTGTATATTGCCCTTTATTTTTTAAGCTCTACCTATATTACTGTATATTTCAAGCTCTCCCTATATATCTATATTTTGGTCTAGAATAGCTAATTTTCCCTATAAATCCCTAAAATTGACACTTTCTCTTTTAATCTTGCCAAGCATTTTTGAATGATAAATTATACTATACTTCATGTACATACTTCTATGGCAGTAATTCTTATGACACTGAAATTCACAGTTTCACATTATGAGCAATTAATATCCTTCAGTACAAAATATGTATTCTTTTTCACAAGACTTGTTATTCTTATTAGAAGATTAAGCTGTTTTAAGCTTATATTCCAGAGGCTATGGGCATGAAGTCTGAAGGTGCTGGCAGAATGTGAAGAAAGCATATATTGGCCTGTCATAGGATAACAGTTCAGTTAAGACTTATATGAAAGGTGAATGTAGTTTCTTCAAATAAGGTATATTCCTAATGAAAGGGTAAACCCATGTTGTCCCATTGAAGAAAAAATTGATAATGGTGTACAAAAATATTTTTCAAGTTTGATTCAGTTTCAGATATGAAACTGCTTTAAATTATTGTTTTGATTTTGGTCAAAATTTTGAATGTCACTTGAAGACTTCAATTTTGGATTTGAAACTACATCTACTTGAACACTGGTCAAAAAAATTGATTAATCTAAGAATACTTTAATAATGTATTAAAGAATACTGGAATAATGACATATAAGGTAATAAATACCTGTCATAAATTTTATCTAGTTCTTACACTTTTTTGCACTTACATTGAAATTTGGGGACAATTTTTTATGTATCTTTAGCTTAGCCCCAGTGATGAGTCATGAGAATTGTAGCACACCATATTTGTATGCCTTTAACTTGTATTGGAAGAGAAGGACATAATGGACACAAAATTGGTCTATGGTGCCAAAAATGGATTAGCTCAGAGGTCTTTTGCATTATTTACAACAAAAACTTACTTTAAATTTATAACTGAGCTTTTACAATTAAAACAGCACAGCCAAGAATTTTCTTTGTTTTTTTAGGTTATCCAAATGTATGCCTGTCTATCCACATTCTGCCAGTACTCATCTGCTGTGCCCATGAGAATAGAAATAAGAATTGCCAAGTGAAAGCATAACTGAATAAGGTATCCAAACTTTACTAATTACAAGAACTTCAGAATAGAGGTAAGTTTTTTCCATTTAGTTATCTAAATAACACTTCCTAAATTTCAGCCAATTGCCTTAAGTTATTCTGATACTTTCAGTTAGACTCCACCCATATACAGCCCTTTATTTGCCTAGAATTTTATAGGAGACTTTGACACTTAATTGGGCCACAAAACCATAAAGCATTATCTGCCACCTGCAATAATCAACAAACCATCTTTAATCCATCAAGACATTTGGTACATACTTATGTCTTGTGTATGCTATTCAGGTTATCATCAGAGAAGTATACTTACAATTGTATCTTGACCTGAACCAACATATATGTATATGTATCAAAGATTTACCCTGATTTCAAGTTAATGCAAATAGTTTAGTACCAAGTAGGTTTTTAATTACTGCATTTACAAAGTAATAATGATAAAAAAAATTTTTACTTCAAAAAATAGAGCTGATTATTTAATGGTACACTTGGTTGATTGTGTGCCTTATAAATAATATACTGGTCTGTTATTTCTTACTAGCAAACATGTGTTACTGACCTTAGCTTGAACTAATATTTAGAAATCTAAAACTTGAAATAGCACTCTTCTAATGCTAATGGGCCTTGAATACAAACAGACAAATTCAAATTGCATTTCAATTTCGTATTTAAAACTGGACATTTGTTTTCAAACCTCCAACTTTAAAAATAGTGGTTACTAAAATAATGATATAATATGTAGTTTATTAAATCTTCATTTTTTATTACTTATAAAATCAAAATTAAAGAATATTGTAAAGAAAATTTTAAGTTGATTGTATGATTGCATCAAACTTGTTTTGAAGCTATGTCAGAGAGGAAGGAAAACAAAACATGTACAAATATAAGTCCAAAATTAAGTTTATTTGTTTATCATAGTTCTTTATACAAATACAATTTGTGTGTTATTATGTGTAATTGTTCTGAACCATACTTAAAAAGTATGAGCATTTGAAAATTAATTTAAAACTTAATGCTAGTCTGTGACTTGATGAGACCAAATTTCAGGGATTGGGTGGGCAGCAGAGGGATGTCACTGCTTCCATTATTAAAGTTAAAACGAAAAAAAAAACATGTACTCTGATAAAATGCTTTATCTATTAACCTCATAAACATTTTTCTGCCAAAAGAAATTGGCTCACAATAGTGTTTGGCCAAAAAGATGCTGAGTTTAGGGTGTTTACCAAACTGTGTTCCTCTTGCACAAAATAGTAGAAGTGTTCATATTGAGGTACCATAACAGGTCAAATAAAAAGTGGTTATGAATATCAGATTCTGATTGGCCTAAAACAGAGAAAAACTATTTATTAATTTATATTCCCTAATGTGCTGTGCTGATGATACTACTCTGGTGCTGCTGCCTTTGCTACTACTGCAACTTCTACTCTCGCTAATCTACTACAACTACTGTTGCTACTACTACTACTACTGTCTCATACTCACACACAAGACTAGCTCTTTCAACTGTCTTCGCATGTATTTCTCTGTTATTCTAAGCAGAAACCTGCACACAAAAAAATGATGACTAGACATGCATCAGTACTTCCTTAACCATCTCTAATACCATGGAGAAAATGGCTTTATAAGCTGAGAAACCAGGTTATGTATTGCACAACATGTGCAGCTACTACACTGTTTTGTATGTGGGATCTTGTATGGGGTCATGGGTTTTACTCCCTCCTAGCCTGCAAGTATGGGCAGTTCAGATTCCAGATATTGGAAAGAATTCAAGTCTCTATTCAGAATTTAAAAAGGGTTGCACCTAAAAGATTTGTTTGGAAATAACCCGTTAAAAGTGTTTCCATGAAATGCAGACTGAGCATTAAGTATATCAGAAGTCATTTCTGATAAAATTTTGAGCTGTCTCACATTTCTCTCTCAACCTTACCAAGGTGCACAGTACAATTAAAACATACTTGCAATTATGTTAGTTGTAAAAATGATTTTTGATTACGTCACAATTGTTTACAGTAGCATTTACAATGAGAAAACAAGAGTTAAGATATTCTGAAACAGTAGCATTTGAAGTGATGCATTACTATACTTGCACTATAGTGACCAAATTAATTACTTCTTTTTTAATCCTTATTTTTTGGATGAAATTAGCTTGGTTTAGTTCTTAGTTTACCTTTATGAGTTTATATGTTAAATTGAACTTTAACAAAGGGAACAGTTATTAACCACCCCTGAAACATGGAATAACTTAAAGCAGACTCGATTTCTTCACTAGAGTTTGATTCAGCCATTTCAAACTGTCTGTTTATTTAACCAGAATATTTCTGACACATATTGCATCATTCAATTAATAAGTGGCTGATAAAACAACTTGAATAATATTACTTACTCGAAATAGATGAAAATTAAGAAAGTATATATTTTTAATGTGTAAATATTTATAAAATACATTGTTTTGAGAAAATACATCAGTCATAAAATTTTGTCTCAACTTTTACCTGAAAACTCAACAATAACTGGGAATACATTATTCATAACATCGTTGACTTTTGTCATTGACATTAGTTGTAAGATGGTTAAAGTTAATCAAAGTTTGTATCTCAGTCTAAAAGAATGACTGATTTTGAGTTCAATTTATAATGAAATAAATTTATTGAGTTTTCTTTTTATAACATTTTTTTTTCCTTGAAAATTTAGTTACAGATCAGACAGTACCAACAAAGTTGAAAGAATAAAGGAACAATTATGTAACAACTGTACCTCTGGAATACCTACAAAACATTTTTTTTCATTGGTTTTTATATAAAAGTTTAGAAAAATGACATAATTTCTTGTATTAACAATTGAAATTGTGAAACCTTCCTTTCAGTTAAGAGCAATTGCTTGTTTCTTTAGTTTTTTCAAAAAAAGTCACTTATGAGCAGTCAGTATACTAGCTTTATTGTGGCTGTAAAGCTATTGTCAATTAGTAATCTTTGAATAACTTAAAAAACAAACAACAAACAAGTGTTTCGATTTGGGTGTTACATTGAAACCTAGATCTGCTGTTGTATATTGTAAAAGATACAGTTAAACTCACTAGACTTATCATGTGAGCCATTAAGAATACCATAAATTTTGCACAAACTTAGAAAAATATTTTTTTTATTTATGGGAATTGTTAAAAAATAATGAAGAAAAGGAACTAATAATATATTGTTGATCAAAAGTTATCCAACATGGAAATCTTGCGTTATTGTGAATAAAGTTATATTTTTATAACATTACTCATTTTAGAAGTCATATTAGGTCATCAGATCACTTCTTTGAGTCAGTACACTTGTGGTGGCCCGGCCTGGCCAGGTGGTTAGGGCGCTCGACTCACAATCTAAGGGTCGTGGGTTCGAATCCCAG